TAAATATTTTCCTACATATTTCTATGTAAAAATTTGATCCCCCATTGTGGCCCCACCCTACCCCTGGGGGTCATGATTTGAACAAACTTGAACCTAAACTACCTGAGGATGCCTCCATATAAATATGACCAATCATGGCTTTGCTGTTCTTAAGAAGAAGATTTTTAAAGATATTTTCCTATATATTTCTATGTAAAACTTGGATCCCCCATTGTGGCCCCACCCTACCCCCGGGGGTCATGATTTAAACAAACTTGAATCTGCACTACTTGAGGATGCAACCATATAAATTAATATGACCAATCATGGCTTTGCTGTTCTTAAGAAGAAGATTTTTAAAAATATTTTCCTATATATTTCTATGTAAAACTTTGATCCCCCATTGTGGCCCCACCCTACCCCCGGGGGTCATGATTTGAACAAACTTGAATCTACACTACCTGAGGATGTTTCCACATAAGTTTCATCTTTCCTGGCCCAGTGGTTCTTGAGAAGAAGATTTTTAAATGATGCCATTATTTTTTCACTAATTCCTAATTATCTCCCCTTGAAAGGGGGCGTGGCCCTTCATTTGAACAAACTTGAATCCCCTTTACCCAAGGATACTTTGTGGCAAGTTTGGTTGAATTTGGCCCAGTGGTTCTTGACAAGAAGTCGAAAATGTGAAAAGTTTACAGACGGACGGACGGACAGACGGACGACGGACAAAAAGTGATCAGAAAAGCTCACTTGAGCCTTCGGCTCAGGTGAGCTAAAAATGGATATACAGAATTAAGTATCTCAGTGTAATCTACTTGTGTGCCAAGTTATATTGAAATCAGACCAAAACTGTAGGATGAGTAGAGTTTTGAAAGTATTTCACAGAAATTTCTATTTTTAGTAACCATGCCAACACCGTTCAACGAAATCAAAAATCGATAGAAAGAATTATGTATCTTAGTGTAGTCTACTTGTGTGCCAAGTAATATTGAAATCAAATCAAAACTGTAGGAGGAGTAGCATTTTGAATGTATTTCACAGACACTTCTAATTTAAGAAACCATGGCAATACCATTCATCGAAATCAAAAACCGATACACAGAATTATGTATCTTTGTGTAGTCTACTTATGTGTCAATTTATATTGAAATCAGACCAAAACTGTAGGAGAAGTAGCATTTTGAAGTATTTCACAGAAATTTCTATTTTTAGTAATCATGGCAACACCGTTCATCGAAATCAAAAACTGATACACAGAATTATAAAATCTTAGTGTAGTGTACTTGTGTCCCAAGTTATATTGAAATCAGACCAAAACTGTAGGAGGAGTAGCATTTTGAACAAGATGTGTTTGTGAAACACTGATGAAAAGATAAAAAAATGTTGATACCCAAAGAAAGATCTTGTCTCGAGGAATACACTTGTGAAATTTGAAAGACCTAGATACAACTGTTCAAAAGTTATGGCGAAGGTTAAAGTTTTTTAAATAAAAGTCAAACGTCAAGGTCAAGGTCAAAGTGGTTGATATCCAAAGGAAGATCTTGTCACAAAAATTACATATGTGAAGTATGAAAGCCCTAGCACCAACCATTCAAAAGTTATGGCCAAGGTTAAAGCTTTTCAAAAGTAGGTCAAACTCCTAGGTCAAGGTCAAAGGGTCAAAGTGGTTGACATCCAAAGGAAGGTCTTGTCACATGGATTACATATGTGAAGTATGAAAGCCCTAGCTCCAACCATTCGAAAGTTATGGCCAAGGTTAAAGTTTTTCAAAAGTAGCTCAAACTCCTAGGTCAAGGTCCAGGGGTCAAAGTGGTTGATATCCAGAGGAAGGTCTTGTCACAAGGAATACACATGTGAAGTTTGAAACCCTAAGCACCAACTGCTCAAAAGTTATGGCCAAGGTTAAAGTTTTTCAAAAGTAGGTCAAAGTCCAAGGTCAAAAGGTCAAAGTTATGGCCAAGGTTAAAGTCTCATAAAATTTTGCAAAAGTGGGTCAAACGTCAAGGTCAAAAGGTCAAATATGACGGTACCCAAAGAAAGGTCTTGTCACAAGGAATACACATGTGAAATATGAAAGTCATAGCTCCAACCAATCAAAAGTTATGGGCAAGGTTAAAGTTGACAACAGACAGACAGACAAACAGATAAACAGACAAACAGACAGACAGACAGGACTAAAACAATATACCCCCGGGATCTTTCGATCCGGAGGCATAAAAATTGTTTACAGACAGACGGACAGACAGACGGACGGACGACGGAAAACTTACTATCGCATAAGCTCTTCTGGTCTCTGACCAGTAGAGCTAAAAATGTATTTGGAAATCACTACTACAGTAGGCGAAAATGCCTATCAAATGCGCTAGGGGAGAGGCAGCGAAAGTCGGACGGTTTTTCGGACCCCCTCGTCTGCACCTTTGGTAAACGCTCCAAACTCTTCACATATAACCGGAAACTTTTACATCACATAAAATGATGTTTTTACCCTCTTTCTATTCTTAATTTTCATTGGTTAAAAGCTTTGTAATGTTATAAATCAAAACCAAACACGGGAAGGCAAGGGCTGATAAAGTCGGACATCGACAGTGAAAGTCGGACATGTAGAATTTTAAGTCGGACACATACTGGTTTCGACATTTAAAGTCCAATTTTCTTCATATTTTAGGCTAAATCATAGTTAGAGAGTAGGACACGTAGTGTGTGTGTGGGGGGGGGGGGGGGGCTCACTTTTTTCCCAAGCATTATTTTTCACTATTGAAAATTAATTTTCAATGAAAGGCTGGTTGCCCCACCACCACCTTTTTTGTTGCAGTATAGTCAAATCAGGGTAATCTGGTAATGTATGAATAATATTTGGCTTTGAAAGAAGTTGGAACCCTCCCACTGACCCCCGAAATAGGATTTTCGAATTTGGACAATTACCCCCCCCTTTTTTGGCTCGTCGTTTATTTTTTCTTCAGGTAAGTTGATTTTTTTTATTTGGTTGTCCCATCCCCCCACTTTCAAATACGATACTACGTGCCTGGGCAAACTTCATGAACATTTAAGTGATGATTACGTAATAAACTTAGTAGTCATTGTATGGATTATTTAGATAAATTTTCCATTTTAGACCAAGAAATTTAAATGAACATATAGTATCTTGCGATCTATAAACCAATGCGTTATCGTGTGAATAAATTTTTAGGTTTAAATTGTTTCCAAAATTAAACCCATTTATATAATGATTATAAGACAGATAGCCGGAAAGGAGAAAACTATATACATGTGTATTCCTCAATCTTTAATGTGGAATCAGTAATCTATGGAACTAATTTTATTTTTCAACAAGGAAAGTTCTTTTTTCAAAATAAACAATGAAACTGAGTGCCGAGTTAGGCCTATAAACATGAAACTCAAAGCCATGAGAAAAATTATTTGTGTTGATTTTTTTTTTAAGACTTTCTCGCGGCCTTTTCTTCTTTTATTTTCCTCAGTTCCAATATTTCTCATTTCTCTGTTAGAATTCTTTGAGGTGTTTTTCATTGTTTTTCTGAAATGAAACAATTTCTATAGGTAGATGTATCTTTTTTATTTCTTCCTTCCTAAAAGTTGCAGGGAATCAGCATGTAGAATTTGATTTGCAAAAGCGAAAATATTCTTAAATTACCGGTAAATTATATTACATAATAAGATTCCGGGTTCAAATCCCATACCATACCGTATTTTTTAATTTTTTTTTTTTTTGAGATGTTAATAAATTGTTCTAATTTTTAAGAAAATTGACAATTAAAAACAATGTATTGTGCGTTGTCCGACTTTAAATTCTCCTCTGTCCGACTTTAAATGACCCAGAATATAAAGTCGGACAGTTTAATTTTAATGGTTTTTATAAATAAATATCCACCAAATTATTATTATTAAGGGAATAGTTAATATTTATCATGTAAAAGTATGCTTTAATTACAAAATATATTAGCAATCACAGAATACAAACAGCAAACTGAAGATTTAGCCAAGGATCACTATGTGTTGCGCATGCGAGTTTTTATCCGGATCCATGAGATGCGTATGTATGCGACGAATTTTAGAGGTTATTTCAAACATTTTCATGACTTACATTTATATGAAACAACCAATAACACCCTGTAAACAGAGATACTTAAGAAAAATACAAACGACACTAAATATAGCAATGATTTTATTCTGAAAAATAAGTGTCCGACATTCGATGTTGTCCGACTTTAGCTGTTCCGCCCCTATGGCTCTTTGGTGTTGTGACTAACATAAAAATTTTATATTTTAATAATTTTTTTTTGGAAAACATCAGGTAAGTCACTTTATAGGTTATAACTGAATTTGTATATATACTAGTAGCCAAAAACAATCCCTATCTCCAAACAGGTGATCTTGACTTTCACTTTCTTACTTCTCCTCGAATTCAGGTCATGTGAAACTGACGTAACATTCCAAAGTTGGGAATTAAATCTAACCAAAGATTCATGATCGTAACGTGTTAGACATACGGACAACCAAGCCAAAACCAATGTCTCCTCCGTATGTACATGTAGTACTATATAGTGTTCGGGCAGACAAAGTAAGATTACAGTGGTCATGAATAAATCGGCCAAAACAATCGTAAAACAGGATTTTTTTTTCAATTACTACAGATAAAATCTACATTGGACAAACTGAAGATAAAATACACCTGACGGGTTACGTGTTATTATTATGAAATTTAATTGATCTAATGATAAAAAATATCCAAAAAGCGATAGATTTTTTTTTTGTTTTCATGGGCATTTAAACATTGTCGCTCAAAGTATCAGATGCAGTTGATATGTCTGAATTGGTTTGGTTATTTTCATTAATTATATATGTTTCGTTACAATTATGCCTTGTAAACTTGGATTAGCCTACAATAATTCTTGCGATATTACATAATTGAGAACAATGAATACGGTCGTGTTGCTGTCTCAGACCCTGGAAGCCGTAATCATAAAGGTTCAATATTTCCCGCACGAATGAAAACATGATGATACCTGTCAACTGATCCAGATAAAATTCTTGTAAAATTATTGCAGAAAGAGAGTGACGTCACTGTTTTGTGATGATGACATAGTGTTGTGAGTAGGCGCCCTCCTTGTAAGATGTCCCACACTTTTATAACGTTTCCACCTAAAATAAGAAAATAAGAAATAGACGTACACTACTACAACACAGAGACAAAGGTATGGGGATGCAGATACCTTTTTTAAAACAGAATATGACTGAAAATTGTTCGTTTAAATTTCTCTTCTTTTTTTCTTACAATGTACTTCAACGATTTTATACTTATCGCAGGGCTCTCTAAAATTTGAACATTCTTGTATTTATACACTGATACTTTCTCGAGCAATAAAGATATACTTTATCAACATGTTAAATAAACTATAAATCAAATTCAAATATTTACATTCAACATGTATTTTGCTTATAAAGTGTGTGGAAAGCATTTCAGTTAACATTGAATCATTATTTTTTTAAAGATATAGTCTCATAACTGCAGCAAACAAATTGAGTAACGCGCGTTAGCGCGTTATGAAAATTTGTTTGCACACACCGTTGCAGTTATGAGACTATATCTTTCAAAAAATAATGATTCAATGCTTATATTCACATTTTTTAACTCATTGCCTTGACTGCAAAGGTGATTTATATTTCAAAGTCCCTCAAAGTATTACCATTCGGGTAAGTTATAATTAATGGAAGAGCCGTTGCAACAGCTTCTGTTCAATGTAAGTGTGAATTTTGATTTTCGCTTATGACGTTGCATTTCCACGGCGATCAACGTTTGTGACGTCAAAATAAAACACATACTTTAACCTTTTTACCCCCTGTCCGTGTTATGGTGTTTTGAATGCCGTAGCTTTCCTCACACTTTATAAGCAAAATACATACTGAATGTAAATATAACACTTTATCACCAACAGGGATTCAAAAAGTCAATGTACGATTTTTATTTTGACGCCACAAACGTTGAACGCCATGCAAGTGCAACTTCAAAAGCAAAAATTAAAATTCAAGCTCACATTGAACAGTAGATGAGGGTAGAAGCTGTTACAATGGTTCTTCCATTAATTGTAACTTACACGAAGGGTAATACAAGGATTTGAAATATAAATCACATTTGAAGACAAGACAGGGAGTTAAAAAATGTAAATATAAGCATTGAATTATTATTTTTTAAAATATGTAGTCTCATCATACTCTCATAACTGCAACGGTGTGTGCAACCAAATTCTCATAACGCGCTAACGCACCTTTCTCAATTTGTTTGTACACACCGTTCCAGTTATGAGACTACATCTTTCAAAAAATTTATTCAATGCTTAAATAATTCTGTGTTTTCTCAAAGAGTATATAAAGATTTTTTTTAATAAGCAATGCATATGCCGATTCATTAACTTCCGAAATGATATCACGTTGTAAATTTTGATTTACTAGGTGGAGATAAATAAAAATTTTATATGATAAAGTTAAAAAAAATTGTAAATTTTGCATTACCTTCACCTAGTAAATTCAGAACTTACAAAAAGTAACAAAAAAGGCGATTTTGGTGACAATTTAAGTAATATCGAATACATTTACGAGGCTTTTTCGGAATATCTAGAACACGTCAGATATTAGAACTAATGACCATTGCGAGACCAGTTTCCAATGGCCCAGATATTCTATCAAACTTTCGAAAAAAAAATGAATCAACTAACCACACACAACAAAAATTCGTAAATATAAGCAAATATCAACCACCAAAAGGTGAAATAATCAGGCTTGTTTTATTACAATAGCGTCATGTGCATCATTAAAAGCAAACAGAAGGAAACCTATTCAGATGGCGGGGATGGATAAGTTTGGCAGGAAAAGACTTTCATCGCTTCTGATCCGAACAGACTTTTATCCCACTACAAATAATATCAATTGTTGAAACCAGATTTGCCATCATAATTGATGATTTTTCAATATGGTTTTAAAAAGGCCGCTATTTTGTGAAATAAATGATTAATCACACAATTTTTGCCGTAGAGGGGTTATGGTTGAACGCAAGTATTAATAGACAGATTTTCATCTCTCTGTATCAAGGAAATGAGGCAGAAAATGTCGAAGGTATCTTGGAAATAGTTTTGGACGTATTTGATATTACGATGATTTGCATGTGTCTATAACAGTGGTAGTGAATAACAAGGTCTAAAGTTCACCACATACACAGGTATATAGTGTAGTTTCTTCCCACAACGAAACATGCCGTTCTCTAACAAACAACATTTAGGGAAAAAAATCTGTAATAACTATAAAATGTTTATGACCTGAGTGCTAGTACATGTAAAGTTAAGAGAAAACTTTTATTTTAACAAAAAATGATTGAGTTTGAGATGGCAAGACGTACACACAGAATTATAATGGCCCAATCTTCACTTATTTTCTCCCCTGATATAAAAATCAAGACCAATATGGCTGATGACTAGAAAAGCCCCGTTACTAGAATCTATTAAACTGAGCGGAATGTAAGAACCAATTTATTCCCTGGAAAACAATACTATCACAGGCATAAAAGAAGGCAGCTAGCGGCTTTATTTTCTCTGGAATAAATAATAGAGCAATAACTTTAAATTAGTTATTAGGACTGATGGGGTTGTGGTTATAGCCACGAGATTTGTTTGCTCTTTGTAAAGAGAGTCTTTTGAGAGAAGAAGATTAAAAAGAAACTTAAGGTGTCGCCACCCTTTTATATTGGCTTGTTAATTACTGTATCATCATGTATGAATGGTCAATCTGTTCTGTTTCATAAGACCAGAAAATCAAATCAAATGAGAAATTACCAAGTTGTTTAATTTTCAAGAAATGTAGCAAAACTAACAAATGAATATTTTATTTATGACAACCTTTATTAACTAATCACCACGTTAAATAATTAGTGTAAGGATGTCGGTGTATGTTAAATTTTTACACCACGGCCCTTTCCTTTATCATTGCGCCTTCTTCATCAAGAAACAAAATACTTTATTACAATTCTGATGCAATATTTATTATATTATACTGAATGTTTTATACAAATACATATTGCAGTGAACCTTGTGCGCATGAATTCTGCGCAGTCAATATTTTTTTGAATTTCACCCGTTGTCAAGCAGTGTTAACTATTGTTTAAACTTGTTACTCATACTTTAAAATATTTCAATGTTTTCGGTCGTCAACGTCAGTTAACTACTGTTAACAATATATATTCAATTAAACACCCCCCCCCAAAAAAAAAAACAACAAAAAACAAACAAACAAACAAACAATAAACCATTCAGCAGAGGCAAATAATATTATCACATTTGTTAATTATAATTTAATGGCAAGAGCTAGATATGCAGGAAAGAGACGCCAATTCAAAGAGAAACGCAGTTAAGTTTGCATTTGGTTCCATACAAAGAATTTTTGCGCTTTAAAAAATTTTATATGATAAAAAAAAATTTATAAAACTTTGTTTAAATTCATAAATATACGCGAGAAATTTTTTATCGTGCAACTTTGCAATCAGCTACTCGCGAAACAATTAAACTAACCATTTTTATTTTTCAATTACTCTGTAACAAGAGGCCCATGGGCCACATCACTCACCTGAGTCACTCTGACCCTACTGTTCTTTTTCCCTATATACATATGTTCTCATGTTAATTCTGATTGCCTTATATGGCCCCACCCTATACTCAGGGGCCATGATTTGAACAAAATTTTATTTACATTACCAGCGGATGCATCCATATACAGGTAATAATAAATATGACCAATCAGGGTTTTTCAGTTTTTAAGAAGATTTTTAAAAAATCCTTTTCCTATAAATTCCTTTGTAAAACTATGACCATCTGTTGACTTGTGGCCCCATCCTTCCCCTGGGGTTCAAGATTTCATCAAAAACTGAATCTACACCACTTGAGGATGCTTCTATATTACTATGATTGCCTATTGTGACCCCAACTTACTCCCCAAGGCCATGATTTGAACAAACTTGAATCGAAACTACCCTAAGATGCTTCCATATTAATTTGACTAATCAGTAATCACGGCCTTGCTTTCCTTAGGAAGATTTTTAAAAATATCATATATATTTCGATTCCCTATTGTGGCCCGACCCTACCCCCGCGGGCTATGGTTTGAACAATTTAGAATCTACACAACCCCAGGAAGCTTTCATTTGTTTCATCTTTTCTGGTCCAGTAGTTCTTTAGAAGAAGATTTTTCCTATATATTTTCATAACCAATAACCTCTTGGGGTATTACTTCAGATATATTTTGTAGTAAATGTCCATTTTTTTCCTGAATATTGCACTCTCAAAAGATGTGTTCGATGCACTTTTCTTCAAAACAAAATCTGAGATATCAGATGCAAATTTAAACTAATACATCATGTTATTGTAAAAGTATGTAGTGTTTTCTGAGAATGAAAGATACACTTCAAAAACAGATGTAGATTTTTAAAGTGTTTATTATTCCCACCTTTCATTTTCATTCTTTTAGAGAAAGAGAGGGGGGATCACAAAATTGCTAATACAAAAAAATCTAGACAAATATGACTGGTGTGCTACAAAAATTATCTTTATCTGAAACAAATTACAAACTACTTTTAGAGCTTTGAATCCTACTTTATGCTGTTCTGATTCCACTCATGAATGACTATTTCATGTTTTCTTAATCAAATAAGCTTTTCACTCCGTTTAATTCAGATTCTGTTTCTCTACTATCTTAAGCCCTTTACAATTTTTTTTATCCCTAATTAAAAAAAACACAGTCTTAAAATCAAGAACTTTATTATTTCATGCTTTTCATGAGAACTCAATTAAGAGAATACCGCTGTACAACATTGAATTAGATATTCAAAACTATCCAATTTGATTTCCTAATTTTACACAATTTCTACATGCTTTGTTATGTTATTTCAAACGATTATAATTTCCGGAAATCAATGCACTGATGAAAAAAAGGCAACAGCAATAATGTCCTAGTGAAGTACCTTGGGGTATGGTAATACTTTACAAATATAAATTAAAACAACTGCTCAGGAACAGAAGTGATAAAAGACGCCACACTCCTAAATCAAAACCTACTTGTTTCTGATCCTCACCTATTCTCAATTTCCGATGTCGTACTCGAAA